CACCTGGAATTCCTTGGTGGTCTCCCATATATATATATATGTGTCAGTATTCCTTGCCTAAGGAAACCCTATGAAATTCATGGGGTCACATAAGTAGAAAGGCGACTTGGAGGTACACATACATGCTACAGGACATAGAGCTGGTGTGGTATAGCGGTTTAAGTGTTGAACTATTAACTCTGGAGACCAGGATTCGAATCCCTGCTCCGTGAGGTGACTTTGGGCAAGTTAGCCTGGAGAAGAGATGGTTAAGAAGCGATATGATAGCCCTGTTTAAATATGTGAAGGGTTGTCAAGCCTTTTCCCGGCTGATCCAGAGAACAGGACCTGGAGCAATGGATTCAGACTAGAGGAAAAGAGATTCCTCCTCAACATTAGGAGGAACTTCCTGACAGTGAGAGCTGTTCGACAGTGGAACACACTCCTAGGAGAGTAGTGGAGTCTCCTTCCTTGGAGGTCTTTAAGCAGAGGATGGTAGTAGCCATCTGTCACAGGGGGTGCTTTGACTGAGAGTTCCTGCATGGACTGAGAGAGTTCCTTCATGACAGAATAGAGTTGGACTGGATGGCCCCTGTGGTCTCTTCTAATTCTAGGAGTCTAATAAGTCACACTCTCTCAACCTCAGAGGAAGGAAAGAACTCTGAGACCAGGGTTTGAATCCCAACAGGTCCATGTAGAACCACTGGGTGACCTTGGGCAAGTCACACACTCTCAGCCTCAGAGGATGGCAAAGGCAAAAAAAAACAAAAACAAAAACCACCCCTCTGGTGAAGAAACTTGCCAAGAAAGCCCTGAGGGCCGCCGTAAGTCGGAGGCGACTTGAAGGCACACAGCAACCTCAACCATAGGCGCCGCCAGAAGCCGGGGCCTTGCGTGCGCTTTGTGGCGCCGCGAGGGGGCTCCACTGCGCCTCAGCTCCTCCGTAGTTTCGTGGCGGCGGCGGCGGCGGCGGCCCAGTATGTGGAGGCCCCGAGCACCCGGCGCCCTTTCCGCGGCCTCTCGGCTCGCCACCGGCGGAGGCCTGAGGCGCTGGAAGGAGGCCTCGGTGGGCCTCGGAAGACCCTCGGCCTCTCCCTCCTCTTCCTTCCCCCGCAGGCCGCCGGTGAGTGGGCCCAGCTCGGCCTGGAAAGGGAGGCTGCAAGAAAGCGGGCCCTCAGTCAGTCAAGGCCTGAACAGACTGCCAGAAATAAACCAACTTGAGGCCGCTTTAACTGCCCTGGCTCAGTGCTAAGTAATCATGGGAAGTGTAGTTTGTTGTGGCACCAGAGTTCTCTGACAGAGAAGGCTCAATGCCTCAGGAAAAAACTACAGTTCCCATGATCCCCTAGCACTGAGCCAGGGCAGTTAAAGTGGTCTCAAACTAGATTATTGCTGGCAGTCTGTTCAGGCCCTCATTCTGGTCCTTCTGAGAGGGTTTGCCTTGGCCTCCCTCTGAGGAAAATAACCGCCGCCTCCCCAATTGAGTAGGAACAAGGGCGGCCACGCTGGAGAATTAATCCGTTTTGACACCGTTTTAACCGACATGGATCCATCATGGTATGGAATCCTGGGATGTGTAGTGTTGTTGTTGTTTTTTTACAGGGAAAGCGAAACGCCTCACAGAACTACATATCCCAGAATCCCATAGCACGGAGCCGGGGGCGGTTAAAGCGGTATCAGACTGTATTAATTCCACAGTCTGAACACGTGTGAGGAAAGCAACGCGAGAGTCTGCGAGGAGAAGAATTTGAATCGCTCTTTTGGGGGTTCCCCCCCCCGCCTCTTTCTTGGAGAGGAGTTTTAGGGTTTTGTTTTGTTTTGTATTTTTGGGAAAGGGAGCTTGTTTCCTTTGCCTTGAGGAAAGAGGGATTCCTCTGAAGTAGAAAATGGTGGTGGACCAGCAAAGAAGCGGGAGGGCAGGGGGTCTTCGGGCCTGTACAGACTGCCAGAAATAATCCAGCTTGAGGCCACTTTAACTGCCATGGCTCAATGCTAGGGAATCATGGGAATTGTAGTTTTTTTTGTGAGACATTGAGCCTTCTCTGTCAGAGAGCTCTGGTGCCACAACAAAGGACAGTTCCCATGATTCCCTAGCACTGAGCCAGGGCAGTTAAAGTGGACTCAAGCTGCATTATTTCTGGCAGTCTGTATAGGCCCTTCCTCGAGGAAAAGCCCTTCTCTTTGCCCCATATTTGCAATGTTTAGGGCCTCGGCAGACGGTGCTTTGCTGTGCTTCCTAACCTTTGGCCTTCCAGATGTTTTGGACACCAGCTCCCAGAATCCATGACTTGCTGTCCAAGTTGATTGGGGCTTCTGGGAGCTGAATTCCAAAACACCTGAAGGACCCAGGTTTGGGAACCCCTGGATTAAGGTAAGGCTGCCTGGGGTCTCATTCTCTGTTGCTGCAAATGGAATAAAAGGCCTTTGGGAATCTCCAGAGTCATGGATTGTGGGCAGAGTGACCAGACACGTCCTCCTTTTTCCAGGACATGTCCTATATTTCATTCTTATGTCCAGGAGGAATTTCCAATCACCTCCATTTTCAGGGTGTCTAAGAAGCAGGAACTTACATTTCTTTTTGTAAAAGAAGAAAACTACCCCCCCATTAAAAATGGGTATAATACATACAGGACTTTATCACACAGGGGGACGGGGAATCATTATCCAGTTCCTGTCCCATGGTTATCCCGTGATTGTGGGAATGGCTTTCACACCAAATCAGGTTTATTGGGACATTGTCTTGTCTAGAAAGCGCAATTGAACATGATTGCATAAAAGGCTTTCTCACTAATTGCGCTGATCCCATAAATGTCCCATGAATTAAGTGGAATTGTCCCCTCATTTCACCTATTTTTGTATTATTGGAAGACTCCGATAATATAATTCCACTTCATTTACAGAATGAAATGATCCTTGGTATGATCCTTTCTTAACAAGATTACAACTCTGAAAGTTGTGGAGGCCCTTGATAACACTTGCACTAACCTTCTGCTGGAGGATATGATGACCTTCATTAAGGTACTTCAAACTGATTTCTTCACAGGAATCTTGTTCACGATCTGTAGACTCTTTTCTGATGGTGAACGCCAAATACGTTCAGCTTATATGTGCAAGAAGTTCAGAAATTCTCACTGATAAGAGGTAAGTTGCACACAGAATTGGCCACTTAGTAATTCTGGGAATTTCTCAATAAATCAATACACATTGTTATTTGATATTCCAAAATGAACATTGAGTGTTGCAATCCATGGAAAATAAAAGCATAGCCAGTCCCATGGTAGC